CGCAGTGACTCTCGCCTACATGTAATCCCAGCGCTTTGGGAGGCTGAGGTGGGAAGATCACCTGAGGTCAGAAGTTTGAGACCAGCCTGACCAATATGATGAAACCCTGACTCTACTAAAAATGAAAAAATTAGCCAGGCATGGTGGCATAAACCTGTAATCCCAGCTACTCAGGAGCTTGAACCTGGGAGGCAGAGGTTGCAGTGAGCTGAGATAACACCATTGCACTCCAGCCTGGGCAACAAGAGCAAAATTCTGTTTCAAAACAACAACAACAACAATAGGAATGGAGCGTTTTTCTCTGCTAGAGTACAATTGGCCAGATGTCTGCTCCATAAAACTGGTCATTGTAGATTTTTTCTCTCTAGTCTCATTAACTTTGTTTACTGCTTGGTACAAAGTTTAATTTTCACTGGTATAGGGCCTTATGTAGAAGTTCAAAACCCAGTTCTGAATTTCTGAACTCATATTTGTGCTACTGTGGTCATAAAACAAAAACAGAAACAAAAACAAAACTGTATACCAGGAGTTGGAAGAAAACATTAGCTTTAAACCACTCACTGGCTAAATCAGGGGTTCTCAACCTTGGCACTGTTGATATTTTAGGCTGAAAAGTTCTCTGTTGTTGGGGGTTGTCATATGCACTGCAAGATATTTAGCACCATCCCTGGCCTATATCAATTAGATATTAGTAGCATCCTTTCTGTTGTGACAACCAAAAATGTCTCCAGATATTGTCAAATGTCCTCTTGGAGGCAAAACCACCCTCACCTCCACAGAGAACTATTGAGTTAAAGTAGTAGTCATTAATTTAAACTTTGGTTAGTTGGTTGATTTCATCTATTTTTGCTACTTTATAGATCAGAAGTTTTGTGGCATCCACATTAAATATTATTCTAAGGCATAATTAGGAAAGGTTATTATACTTTAAAAATCTACCGAAAGTATTGCAATTGCTTTGTTAGCAGATTAAATTTTTATTAGACATTTGGCATTAAAAGGTAATCAAAGCCCGTAAATTTTATATGAACAAACGTATTACTTCTCCTTAAAAAATGAAAACAGAAACAAAAACAAAGCAAATGAGTCTTCATATGGTGACAATCATGTGGAGTGCTCATCAAGTTCCTGTATCTTATTCCCAGCTTAGTAGGCTAAGGAATTCAGTTTTAAAATGTATTTGAAAGTAATTGTGCTCCAGGGAACTTACATATGCATTAGCCAAATTCATAGGATACTGATGTA